CTATATTATGCACTAATCTATCCCTATCTTAATTTTGGTATCTGTGCATGGGGTTCAACCACTGCAAACCACCTCAAGTCCATCATTACCCAGCAAAAATCTGCTATCAGAATAATAACAAATTCTGCTTTCAGACAACACTCAGCCCCCTTGTTTAACTCCCTAAACATGCTAAACATAATCTCACTCCACAAATTCTCTTGTGTCAACTACGTTTACAAAACCCTGTTCTTAAATGCAAATCCTGCTCTGAAACTCTCCCTGGACAGATGTAATAGGACCCATTATCACCACACCAGAAATAAATATCTCTTTGATATCCCCAGAGTCAAACTTAATTTGTGTAAACATTCTATGCAAATAAAGGGACCCAGTCTATGGAACTCACTCCCTATTGAATTGAAAAGCTGTCCAACTTTTGCATCATTCAAAAACAATACTAAAAAGTACCTAATTTCATCTTCATAGTTTTTTACCTTTTGCTTTAAAACTGCACTGTATCTAGTATTACCTAATCTCCCAGTCTTTATGTACCCAATCTGAACATCTTTATCATTGCGATCATTGCTGTCTTCTTATATGTACTGTCAATCTGCTGTATGGTGTCTATTAATCTTGTTTAAATTACCAATCAAGCTGTCAATGTAATCAATCAGAGCTTTAATATACTTACTAATTTCTCTCATCTCATTTTTTTTCTTGCAATGTATTTGTTATCATTTTATTAATTCTGATAGAATTTACCTACTTAAAATTATCTGTTAGATTAAGGACCTGCCCGAAACGCTGCGCGTACTAGTGGCTTTACAAGAGTGCAATTACTGTACTATGCTATGTATTCTCACAAACCCAATGTACCTTCTTGTATATAAATAAATAAATAAATAAATAAATAAATAAATAAATAAATAAATAAATAAATAAATAAATAAATAAATAAATAAATAAATAAATAAATAAATAAATAAGCATTACATGCTGTTGCGTTGCTTAGTCGTGAAATATTTTAGAAAATGCGATTTGCTACGCAACCTGATTATTATTTATTCATAAAAAGTACATTAAATAATTCTTAAACCACCAGTCTGGAGACTAGAATAAACAACTGTTTCCCAAAACCGGACATAATTATATCACGAATATAATCTCCTTCCTGTTGTCGATACAAGAGAGAAACAGAACCGTTTCTTGGGGACGCATCCCCTATAGCAGGAGGGAGGAGAGATGCCATAGCATCAATACCAGCTGCCCTACCTCAACACGCATTGGCCCGAGCAGAAGAAATCTCCCGCTAGTCATATTACTGAAAACACCAGATTCTAGCAACCTCAGCAAGGCTACGCTATACGTTGGGGAGTACTTCAGTTTCGGTTTATATGTTTAATTACTCATATTTGGCCTTAAGTGTTTATTAATATATATCATTACACTGCAGGGGCAGCCACCTGGAGTGGATAAGAATCTACCTATACTCCCTACCTGTTCTCATGACATAGCTGTCGTATATTTGTTACTGTGTATTACTATTTGAAATTTCGGCAAGTGAAATAAGAGGAGAGAAGTATTGGTAACACTACAATTGGTTTCCATAAGACACGTACCGACGTCGACTACCTCATGGTCAACGAGGGTTGATCTCATGATCTGGATGTGTCCCTTACCCCTAACCAGACAACCAGACATTGTCAGCTAAGAATAGCTATTATTATTTTTAAACTGTTTTTTGTAATATAGTAGATTAAAAGTAAAAATCACCAATCAAATAATTTTAATTAGGCAATCAAATAAAACCCCGCCATACGTGTGAAGGGAATCTACTAGCGGGAAAAGCTATAAAATATACATTCCGCTTTTTATCAAAGAATAAATCAGTAATAAAGTAAATATAAATAATTCAATAACTGAATAATTAATAGTTGTTAAATAAATAAAAAATTCCTGGTAGTCGGTTTTTCCCTACGACGGTTTTTGGGTCCTCCCATTTAGGCTGGATCTGGCTTCTTGTATTTTTTGCGCTTGACTTGGGTCATGGTGATCTCATTTTCATTTGTTAGGTCTTCGGGTGTTGGCCTACCTCGAAGACTGACTGATGTGGATATCCAACCTGTCCACTTGTCTGCTAGCTAGAAACCTAGTTTCTTCTCAGCTTGTCAGGTTCGGGTTCCTTTTGAAATGGCAAAAGTCCCAGTTGGTTTCATGACAGGTTCATATCTGGCTGGGTCTCACACAGGATTCTTGGTAAGCGTCGCTTTCACTGCTTCCTGCGGCCTTGCTCTGCCTGCAGGGCCGCTGTGTGATGGTGTTAAGGGGAAGCTGGGTGACTCGGTTGTTACTCTAGCATCTGTGAGGGAGCTTGAATTTTTATCCGTTGGTTTATCCCTTCTGGTTTATTGGTTTGGCTTCGGAGGTTCTGGTTTCTTCAGAGCATCCCCTTTCGGTGCCCTTACAATTGCTGGGTGTAAACTCCAGGAGCCCTTCACTGGCTGATGTGTCGCTAACTTCCTCTTTGGGGTTTCTCGGGGTTCAGTTCCCTGGAATCTTTCTCCGCCCTCACTCGACGTTTTCACGGATGCTTTAGCAATTGGTTGAGGCTTTGTGATCATTGCTCACCAGTCCGGTTTGGGTCCTTGTCATCCTCCCCTTTGCCGGGCTCACAGCACTATGTAGGAGTTTGCAGCAGTGTCACAGGTGCTGTGGAGAGTTTGGACTCCTCCTGATTGTTGATCTGGCTCCATTCAGACTGTTTCATTGGGGTTCATTATCTGAACTGGGAAGGGGGATCTCTTCAGTCCGTGGCTCTTTGGGGCTGGTCACTTCGGGTAGCTCATCTGCTGAGTTTTTTGGGGTTTGCATCTCGGTGTTTATTTACGTCCAGTGAATGTCCAACGTCCTGGCCGATGGTCTGTTTTAGTTTCATCCTCTTTCTATAAAATGGATCGTCGACGCCGACTCCTTTGTCTGGCTTTGCCAGACATACGGACGCTCAGAAATCGACTTATTCGTATCAGCGTGGTCTCACTGTCTGCACGGTGTTGCTTTAGGTGCAGGTGCAAGTGGAGTCTTACAGGGGTAGTTATATTTTTTACTTTTTGGCTTTTTGGTGGCTGGCGTAGCCATGATGGTCAGGCAAGTAACGTACATTGCTGGTTAAAGACTCCTTTACTGCTCTATGCGTGTGGAGTATTTTTTCGTATTTATCACCATTTGTATGGTGATCAGGTGGCTGGGTTGTTGATGTCCCACCTGCAGTCCTCTTCTGGGCATCAGGTTTCTTGGCGTTCTTTTTGCCATTTTCTCTCCCTTCATCTTTACTCTTTGGTTTGCGAGTGGGGTGGCTCTGTCGTTTCTTGGCTTGTTTCTTAATCAGCATCTCATGCCGAATACTGTCCCCCTCATATCGTGAGGCGTTGGCGGAGCCGCTCCATCTTACGTTTGAGGTTAACTCTTCTGTGGTCCATTTTGGAAGCTTTTTTGTGCTTTGTTTCATCTCCAGCCTGCTCATGTGCTGCCTGAGCCTGTCTGGTGTCTCGACCAGATTCTTTCTGTCTTCTCTTCTGCTTTGCTCCTTTGGTCTGAGTTTTATTTGTTTTTGATGGCTGTATTTTGGCTTTCTTTGGCCTCTGGTTGTCGGGTTTGTGAGCTTCATGCTTTCCCCTTGGTCGAGGGGGGGGGGGGGGAAGCAGGTCTGGTGAGCTTCATGCTCCTCTTTGGCACTGAGGATTTTGCTCCTTAAGACCCAGTGGGGGTTTTCTTCGATTGCAGCTGTGTCCTCCTTTTCTGCCGAAAAATGAGGCAACTAGCTTCCGGAAAGGTCTTTTGGCTGTGGATGTTTGGTTAGTTCGGCCAGGGATGCATCACGCGCCTTGTCCGGTGGCGGCTTTACCCCACTACCTTCATGGGACCGGTTCTGCTTCAGTGGACTCGTTGTCGGTTGACTAGGTTTTCCTGTTCCAAGGTTCGTATTTCCCAGGTCGTCCACCGTGTAATTAAGTCCAGCCAGCCTGTGGTTTACCCTCAGGCATGTGATGTCTGTAAGTATGCTGTCAGGGCTGCAGTTTTTGCTAATATGCCTTGGACCGATATTTGGGGGTGGGGGTTTTGTTGGACAGATAGGATCTTAGTAGCCAGGTATCTACTGAACGTCCCTAGTCCTCCGCTGTCTTGTGTCGCTTTGCGTTGTGTGTTGCGGACGATGGTCTCGTCTTCGAACTGATATCTGCGGTGCTGCCTCCTGCCTGGTAACTGACCATTTTCGTGTCTTCTCCGTGGGTAGTTAGCTTCAGGGAGCCAACAGGGCTTGCCCCAAAAACCAGCATTTAATGTAATGGAAAGCTACTTTCTGGGTGAGCCCCGAAGGCTTCCTGACACACTTCCTTCCCCAGGGTGTCAGAGTGTTTCATCATCATAGAACTGAGGTAGCAGCGAGTCGGCGGACCTGGAAGGCCTCCGTCCCCCAAACGAGGCGTAAGGTCGGGCAAACTGGCCGCTAGTTTCATTAAATTTTTTTTTTCCTTGTTAGGGGAGTTCTTTTGTCAATTTTGAGAGTGCGGTCTTGTTTTTAAACCATGCTGTAGTTTGCTTTGGTTTGCCTAACTTTCTGGGTGCTTCCCTGGTTATGGCAAGTATGCAAAACTTTATATGTAAAATTTCAAAGACCATCGTTTTCTGTGTCACTATGAGGGGGCCAAGTTCTGGCTCATAGTCCCAAGTAGGCAATAGAGCTCCACAACTGATGGCACCTAGTAATATGGCACTGATCAGTGTCTAATAGCTTCAGGAAGCCTTCGGGGATTCACCCAGAAATGGGAATTTAATTACATACAACTCTGGGTTTTTTTCTTTAGCAAGTGCTTCACTCCTGTCTGGAGGGAGGTGTTCCATGAGATGGCTCACAGGACACAATGGATATAAATTGGATCTGATTGTAACTGAGACATTTTGTGTGCACTATGAGACAATAAGGTCAGAATAAAAATATTGATAAATGTACAATTTTTCAGATTACTCAAGCTCGTCAGTTTAAGTATATTCACTTCAGACTGCATAATAAGATGACTATATCCAAAAAGAGCAAGAAAAAGATGTTCTGCAGCAACAAGGGCAATCTGAAAACTGAAGAACTTCGATATCATATTTTTGAAAGGTAATTCCAAATGTATCATTATCTTTAATTATGAAATTATTTAAAGTTTGTAAATGTTAATCTAACAATGCCGAGTCTGTAATTTATATTGGTGTTTTATAGTAGCAATTAACATTAACGGAGAAAATCTAAAGAAGCATTGTTTGATAAATAATGTGTTGCATAATGTCAGTACCTTACAGGTTGAGAAAATTTTGTTTACACTCTATTTGCATTTAGAGTACACAGAGTTCAAAGAACGATATAGTGTTCATAAGGGAGTTTCAAGATGAAGTGGAAAAAACGCTCAAGGAGCTAATTAGAAACAGCAATTGTCCCAGATGAAGTTTCAACTTGAGTTCTGAGAGAATGCGCATCTCAGCTGAACATTCAACTAAAATTGATTCTCTGGCTTTTTTATGTGTAGAAGTCATAGCAGATAGATAGAAAATTTGAAATAAGTTTTTTGAGGAACAAATACACACTAGGGGATGAGATAGTACAAGCTATTCTCACCTCGTTCAGTACAACGTGTTCATTTATATATATATACTCACATTACACAGAATCAACAGATCAAGGCAAATACTATATAGAAAAAGGGAAGCGTTGCTCAAATCTACAAAAATGGAAGTATAGAATACCGTCTCAATTATAAGCCTGAATCATTGACTAGTTTCGTAGTCACGACACTAGAAAAGAAGAATTAAAACCAAATGGGTAGAACACCTGGAGAGAAATAATGTAACAGACAGACGGTATGGCTTTCGAACACGTAAATCCTGTGATTTTACAGGAAAAAGACATTTGGTCAGACTGCATTTATCTGGACATAAAAAAAAACAATATTTAATGTAATGAAACGTCAATTTCTGGGTAAGTCCTGGTGACTCTCTCAAGGAACAGTGCTGATATAGTGCCAAACTACTGAGTGCCATCAGCCACAGTTATTTTTGGCCTACTGGGAACCACAAGGCAGAACCTGAGGCTAGGCTGGACTTGTGATAACTTGGTCCAACAGGCGGTTGCTTGTAGTGGCCCGCAGGCCCACGTATCCTCTACGGCCTGGTTGGTCCGGCACTTCTTGCAAGAACTTATATAAGTGCCTCTTGAATACATCCACCTTTGTTCCAGCAAAATTTCTAATGCTTGCTGGGAGGGTATTAAACACCTGTGGACCTCTCATGTTCAGAGAGTGTTCTCTGATTGTGCCTATGGCAATCTACTTTTCATTGATTCTGTTCTGCATTTCCTTCAGTGTCTTTCACTCCAGTATGTTGTTATTCTACTGTGCAAATTTGGGATCTGGCCTTCAAGTATATTCCAGGTATGTATTATTTGATACATTTCAAATTGTTTGATACCTCCTTTCCAAAGAGTACATTTTGAGACCTTTGAGATGGTCCCAATAATTTAGATGTTTTGTCGTTTCTATGTGTGCAGTATATGTTCTCTGTAATCCCTCTAATTCAGAGATCTCTCTCGCTCTGAGAGGGAAAGCGAGTACCGAGTAATACTCAAGACGGGACAGCACCAGTGATTTAAATAATATTAGCATTGCTGTGGGATCTCTAGATTTGATCATTCTCATAATCCATCCTATCATTTTCCTGGCTGTTGCTATATTTGCTCAGTTATGTTCACTAGATGTCTGAGCGCTCGTGCTACTGGTACTTTCCATTTCTTTATGAATATTGAATTCCATGCGTCAGGACCAGGGGCTGAGTGCATGGACCTGTTGTCAATTTATCTGTTAAAGTCTTCTGAGTTCGTGTTAATATCAGTTATATTATCTGTAGCTTGAATGTCATTCATAACGAAGACGTCTTTAATTGATTCTGCAGCAACTGATTCTTTGTGTTGTTTATTGGGTTGTTAAACATAGCCTCATACTGGCCTCTTAGAATTTCACTAATTTCTTTGTTGTCCTTTGTGTATCTTCCTTCAGTTGTAATTAAAGGTGCAATACTGGTGGAGATTTTTTATTTTGCATATGTAAAAGAATTAGGATTTTTCTTCATCTCTTGTATAACTTTCTGTTCCAATGACATTTCCTCAGGCCTGTATGATCGCTTCAACATCTGCTTTATTTCTTCGACCTCCCTGATTAGATTTATTTTTCTTTCTTGTGATAGTCATGTCTCTTTAAGCATTTCCGTGATATTTTTTCTTCTCCTGTGCAGTGGTCTACGTTCTCTTTCTAGAGTGGTCTTCTTTCTGACCCTTCTCACAGGCACGTGCTTCAAGCAGATCTTGAATGCTTCAGCTGTCAGTTGAGCTATTCCCTTTGTGGAAAGTTTATCGCTTAAGACGGTCTCCCAGTGACTGTTTGCAAGATATATATTTATTTTCTCCCAGTCGATCCAACAATTGTTGAAATTGAATTGATTAAATAGCTCTTTTCACTTGTTGGTTTTCTTGGACCTACTACCGTTATTACTGTTAGTTTGCACTTCAATGGGCTTATGGTCCGAGGATATAGTATCTGAGATTGAAATGTCTCTGATTAGTTCATCGTTGTTTGTGAATATCAGGTCTAATGTGTTTTCGTTCCTAGTTGGTTCTGTAATCTGTTAGTTGAGTGAGAATTTGTCACAGAATCTCAAACGCTCACTGACCTGCGGTTGATTATTTTCAGATTGGTTTCCTGCTTTGATATTATAGTTTACGCTTCTCCATCTTAAAGTGGGTAGATTAAAGTCTCCATAGATGATAATATCTGGAACCGGGTTTTCTAAGTTATCAAGAATATTCTCTATTTTGTGCATCTGCTCTGTGAATTCCTCAACTGTTGTATCTGGCGGTTTATATATTAGAATAATAATTTTTTTTCTACTTTGATTCCAAGTACTTCCACCACCTGATTGGCTGAGTTTAGTAGCTCTGTTAATACCAGATCCTCTTTAATATACAGCTCTATTCCTCCATTTGACCAAATTTTTCAATCACATCTATATAAATTATAATTTTGAATCCAGATTTCACTATCCATGAATTCTTTCGTATGAGGTTCTGTGAATGCCCCAAATATTGAATATGATTCTACTAGAAAGTCATTTATGAACTTAACTTATATAACTTTAACTTTTAGGCCTTAGATTTTAACTTTAGGCCTTGTATGTTTGCAAATATGAATAATTTTCCATATTGTGTCACTTCGTGTGGGTTTTGGTAGTTCTCGACACTGATCCCGAGTGTGCTGTTTGGCAATGGTTCATCCAGTTTTGGTATTATGGTGTTTCTGTGTAGCTTGCGGATGTAGTATGTGTGCACCTGATGATGAATTGTAGACCAGTCTTGGGCATTTTCCCTTCCCCATCCATACTCCTGCAACGTTTCTGTCTGTCTCTAAAACACTTTCGGGGTTATTATATTGGATCTCCTCTCTTCTACAGCGCTGTTTACCTCTCACACGGAAATTAGGGCATGAAAGATCATAGCAGTTTCTCTCATTAATTGAGAGATGGCATAGTTTAGGTTGAAAATATCTGCGCTTTGTTCTAAAACGACATTTACCCCTCCCTAATATGTTTCGCCATTTTCGGAGATGCATGAATGTGCATTGTGTGCCTTTGGACCAATATCTGCACTTTCCTTTTGCATTATATTTGAAAATACACTCAGAATAGCAATATCACAATAGCGTGATGCATCAAATGAACAAATCCACAAGGGCCGTGATGAGGGTTCTAACCTACGTTTAGGATGATCCCAGACGCGCCTTAGTCGACTGCGCCACAACATGTTTAAAATAATTGCAACCAGGAGTGCTACTGCCCTCACAAGGCTCCCGCAGCTTCTCCGAAGCACAGACAGGTTTTACACAATTCCCCCATGCACCCGGGCTGAAGGGCGAAGAGGTAGAACATTTGGTTGACAAAGCCCGGGTGCATGGGGAACTGTGTCAAACTCCGGTCTGTGCTTCAGAGAAGCTGCGGGGAGCCTTGTGAGGGCAGTAGCCCTCCTGGTTGCAATTCCTTTAACCATGTTGTAGCGCAGTCGTCTAAGGCACGTCTGGGATGATCCCAAACGTAGGTCCAAAACATCATCACGGCCCATGTGGGTTTGTTCATATTAGAAAATATTTTCATCTCTGAATTTATTTTGGTTGTTTATACCTGTGCGTGCCTTGGCCACCTCCGTTTTGGTGGAGTCTGTGTTTTTTGTGCTAACTTTTTCGTTTCCACATTCTTTCTCGGTATTGCTCTCATCTCTCTCATTTTTGCTCTCGTCATTCTTGCTTTTGCTCTCATTATTTTTATTACCGATTGGTTCTTCAGTATTGCCGTCGTTTTTGCGTACCTCGACACACTGTCCTTCCATAGTGTTAATTTGGCTCTCAAAACTGTCTGTCTCTGGATTGTGTTCCATGTTCATTGCTGTTTTTTGACAATCTGCATAAAATTTTGGTAGCTTTTGGGTGATTGGTAGCCTATGTGCTTCAGGAATGTTATTCATTAGTGTGGTGATGTTTTCACATATCAGTCTATCAGTCAGTCTTGCTTAATTAAAGATTAAGCAAGATTTTCATACTCTCACAGTGGTAATACAAAGAAAAATATAACACAGAGAAATTAAACTTGAAACTATTTAAATAAAAATGTAGACTAATTATTTCATAAGGCAATAAACTAAACTCAATAGAATAACTAACCCCTAAAAAAATATTAAAAATATTAATGTTACTGTGAATGGAAAACATAAAACGACATGTAACTCGAGACAAGACAATCATGAAAACTTCATTATCAAACTTTCACACAAGAAATAATAGAACATGGAAAACAAATTAAATGTAAGCATAGATTTAATGACTTATTCACGTAAAAAAAAAGAGAAATTCAAAATAAAAGTGTATGGCTAACAAATTAACTGCACTGCTTTGAAATTCTCTAAAAAATACAAAATAAAATGATTTTCAAAATAAATTTTTCGTGTCATCAAACATACTTACGTGAATGAGCTGATGTGAATGAATTGAATTTTAATTTTTATATTGATCATTTATTATGTTCACCAAA